CAACGAAGATGCGGTCCGTGTCACACGGCCACCCTTACTCAAACGAAGGTAAACGGAGCGTTTCGCAAAGGACGTTCAACGATCTCCCTTCGCAGCGAAACGAGGTACTCTAATCCCCAGCAGTCTAGAGGTCAGAGAAAAATTTCGAGCACTAAGTGGCCGCAGTGAAAGAGTAATACATTTTGGCAATCTTAAACGTTCTTTCGTTGCAGTACTCATTCACAACGCGTGTTTGTTTACATATATTTACGCCCGCCAGAGTTCACTTACTCTCAACACCGATGCTCTACACTCCGTGCCTCGCACGTGGTGCCTCGCGAGTCGGGCCGGCCGGCGCCATTGAAAAATATTTCGTCCATGCGTGTGGTTGTGGTCGTCGCTGTGTCACTCATGGCTGAAGAACACAAAATGTGCGCTCACGAGGCAAGGAAGCACAAGAACTTTCGTACACAAACATGAACACAGGCAACAAAACAACTAAAAGCCCAATGTGGCCAGCGTCACTAGCAGCATCACTACATTTAGCGAATTCGTTTTTCTTTGAAAATATTTTTATGGTTTGTTAGCCTCTTACCTCCTTAATAGTGGTTTTTTGTAAAAACCCTAGAACGAGGATTCGCAAAAAAATCAATAGAGATGAAATTAGAATACTTTTCCGAAAATCAAACAGCGCCAGCTGAGCCCCCTCGCGCCAACTGTTACAACCTTTTCATTGCCGTGTGACACTGCCACAACTCCTTCTCCGTCGAACCACCTAGGGGAGATTTACGTTGACGGTGTGCAACGTAGTTTAGTGGTGACCGTGTGACAGGGGTATTACACTGGCCAAAATGGAGTTATTTGCGTGACGCTAACAGCAAGACTGGCAAGGGTTCCGTGTCATTTTAACTTCTTAATAGAAAGCGTGCAAGTTTTGTGACACATTAGTTGAAAGCTTTCTGGCAAAGATTTGTTAATTTTGCTAAGCAACAAAAATGTGACTGTGATATCTGCGTGCATGCACTCACGCACACACACACAGGCACACATGCACTCGTATGCACGCACCAACACACGCACGCAGACTATCGCCTTCCTTATGGCTAGTCTGAATCTGCCCTCGGGCTGCTATTCTTATTGCAGACACCTCAAGTTTTCTCTCACGAACAACGTTGCTTTTTTTGTTATGAACCGAAGATGCCGACGCCGCTGGCACCAGAATTTCAGCGAAATGAGCTGTATAGTGCTGTCGCATCAAAATGCGACCTTTTTCCAGGCCAACGTTTACTGCTGTCGGAGCATTTATATGACAAAAACACTGTTAGCAAATAAGCAGCATACAAAATTAAGAAATCAATTTTGTTACAACAGAGTCACAGTGTAATAATTTTAGGGGTGTGCGAATATTTGAAAGTTTTGAATATTCGGTGAATATTACATTTGTAATAATAATATTCAATTTGATAACCAGATATTAGAAAATTTCGAATATTAAAACTAACTCGAATATTTCTCGAATATTTGATGTTCACTATAATCGTTCGTAGGCTTGTGTGATTATGTCGATGCTTCGAATATTCAAACGAAAATTAGAGTATTTGAATTCGCTTCGGTTCGAATTCAAATCATTGAATATTTCAAAGTATTCACGAGAAAGTAATAAATGCATATTAATCCGTATGTACTGCTTGTAAAGGTGGTTTCACTGCAGTATAGGCGACCTATCCAGAAGAAATCCGCTGTGCCGCGAATCCCCTCTTCAAATTTAAAGGGGCCCTGCAACACTTTTTGAGCATTGTCAGAAAACACTCCCAATCGGTAAATTAAGGCTATTATTGAGGACACGAAAGTCAAATATTATAGCGCAGCACACGGCGTGCGATTCACAATAAATTCTCAAAGTCAGCTAAAAATTGCTCTCTTCTCTCTGCAAATGACTCCACAAGCTCAGAAAGCACTTGTGACGTATTTCCTTTTCCCATGCCATCCCTCCCTGCTTAGCTTCCAGTGCTTTCGTTGGGATGAGAAAAGAGAATGCACTAGCAGCGTGCGAGAAATCTTTGCAACTCCGCGTTTATGGAAGGATTCTATTTGCGTTGGTTAAGTCATGAAGCTTCTTTAGTGAATGCATTCCATTGCTACTTGAAAAGGGTCGCACGACCCCTTTAAGTTAAAATATTACGTTAAAATCAATTAATTTTATTAAGTGCAAAAGCTAGTTATGGTGGCTTATATGCTCTAAGTATAGTAAATCTTAAAATGCTACGTATTTTAAGGGCTATGTCTCGCATCCTGCTGAAAGTAAAATTCTGTTACTACACAGTTCTTCTGACTTCTTTTGAATGCGAAAAAAAAATAAAATTTGAATAGGAGGCTCTATTTCATTAAAAAAAATATTGTGCAGGTTAGTTATGTCATGATAACTATGCCCATTTTTCTTTGTCATATATACTATTCGATACGAAATTATTCGACCAAAATCACTATTCGCTTCGAACCTAAAATTCACTTTGTGCACATGACTGAGGCACAAAAAACATTTTGTGAAACAGGAGAAGAAGAGAGGAAAGAAGAACCTAGCGTTCTTGATCGTAGAATGGCGAGCGCGGTCCCCAAGAAAGGCAACGGAAGCAAGCGAGATAACGAGTATTGCTGTGTATTTGAAAACTGCCTCAAGTACTCCTATTTTCCTTAGTGACTTGACCAGATATGAGAACAGTGGACAAAATAAAAAGAAAACTATAAAATCAGGGTCTTTTGAGCTAAGAAGGCAGGTACTAAAGCTTCTCTTTCTTTCTGTAATAAAGTGCTACCACATAAAAAAACATACAAAAGATTTGTTCATCACGTGAATTGAACCCAACATCACAGTCACAAGCTCACCTATTAGTCTTATGCTTTCTGGCAAGTACAGATGGTATTTAAAATTTTTGTGTGGAATAACTGACTGTAATAACAGTTGTACTATTTGCAACCTAAATATATGATTGAGTATAAGATTACTGGTGGGAAAAAATTGTACCTCTTCATTATTCGATATTTGATTCGTATTCAAAGCTATGTATTCATATTCAATTCGTATTAGAGAATTTTGGTATTAGCACACCCCTTATTAATTATTGACATCCATGTGCATGTGTATATTGAGCGTAATGAACAAGTGAGGCTCCGCAGCAGTAATCTTCTACACGCGGATCGGAGTCATTCCCCTGTGAGCGCCTTGGCACACCCTCCATGAGCGCCATCTGTCGCATCAAACGGAAACAGCCGCGGCGGCGAACACATGCTGGACGCTGTGCCGGGTGCAGTGTCATCACTTGACTTAATCTTACATCGTGGTCTATACCATGACAACTAAGAAAAATGTCTTATGGCATCATTTTACTCTTAAATAGAGTAGACTCTAATTAAATGGAACTCTAAGGGACGAGGAAAGTACAGTAGACTTTCATTAAACAGAACCTGAAGGAATCGGGGAAGCATGTTTCATTCAACAGGAGTTCTGTTTACTGAGAGGTGAACTGGGGTGCTTAATACAAGTGCAAAACCAATCATATCAGAAGCAGTTATTCCATTTAATCAGTAGTTCCGGTTAACAGATTTCCGTTGACTGAGAGTCTACGGTATGTTCCACTTGACAGGAGTTTTGTTTACTGAGACATGAACAGAGGTGCAGAATTCAAATATAATAAACCAAGTATTCCAAGAACAGTTGTTCCACTTAAGCAGCAATTCCATTTAAAAGATTTTTAATTAGATTCTACTGTATGTATAGCATTGGTGGCAGTTCTGTCCCATCTATGCGACCAGCTACGAAATTTGTAAAGGGAGATTTTTCTTGCCGTGTTTTTCACACCAGTACTGCCTTGTCACCATTTTATATAGTAGTTTTCACCCTTCGCATGTTGAATGTTGATAGAACTTCATCTGTGTTAATGTGACATTCGTCGATGTCATTTTCGCCAATTTTGCTTTGCCGTGAATTCCTTAGATTTTCCAGCTTTTCTCGAAAGCTTTTCCAGCTTTTCTCCTGCAGCTTCCAACACATGGAGTGCACACTGTGGTGGTAAAACAGTTGTCCCTCACGAATCTGGAGCATTAACAGTGTCCTCTGTCAAGACCAACAACTTTAGTCTATGCTGTACACTTGCAGGTGCAACTTTATCATTGGCCTGCCTTCCTCACGTTGGTACGACCCATTCGGGTGGGTGGGCTTATCGCTCAAACCATCAGGTTTCTTAAAGTTAATTTTTTATGACTGTCACTCGTACATCATTTTTCACTGACACTGAAGTGTCGTCCAGCGGCACTGTTTTTGATTACTAGTGCATTCTCACCTGCTCTCAGTTTGAACTTTGTAGTGTAGCTTTTTTTTATAGTTGCCGGTGTTCCATAGTAATGAACGAATAGGACATTGCGAATATGGCGACTTCATGCGCAGAAACACGCGAGGCGAGTGACAAAGAATGGCTCGAATCGCATTGTGCTCAGCCAGTCAAGTGCTGCGGTCCTTGTGTGTAACATGTGCAGATCTCAGCAGCTATATTTTCTGTCTAATAAAGGCTGTCAAAACAATTTTGAGGGCTTAAAATGCAATAATTATGGTCCCATATACCAAATGAAATAGTTGATTACAACATATGCGGCTACTATGCTTTTTTTTTTTAGTACGTTTGCTGCTTTAAGTTCGCAACTTTCATTGGGCTGGTACGTCCAAGACATAAATGTAGGCATCATGTTGATGTAGAGATTATTCAGGGGCTTCATTTGTTTGTTCATTGAACCCTATGATCTGACATCTGTTGCCGCTGTCACCTAATACAATTTTTAAAAACTTGTATAAACGATATAATTTCCGCAGTCACGTTGCATACGCTCATAAAGTAGAAGGAAATGGGAGAAAAGGGTATACAAGTTGCACCTGTATTATACACACCAGCAGAAAATTGAGAAAGAAAATGTATCATATTTTGGCAAGTATGTTTTTTTTTCTTATTAATTTTTTGGGGGGCTGGTTACAGGGCACCAGCTGCTGGAACAAGCCCTACGATGACTCCAGACATGGTGGCAACGGATGCTGGTGGTTTTAGCTGGACAACAGCTGTGAGGCGTCATTTGCCGATCAAGTCTCATACAACGGCTGCGGTAGCTCTGTCAGCCACTTTTTCAAAGGCTGGCACATACAACATGGCTGCCCTGCACGTGAGCGTGCTCACAGATGATGGACGTCTTTCACATGAACTGCTGTGTCCTAGTCTCATGGTGGTACAACAGCCACAAACTCTCTAGGCTTTATTTTTAATGCCATGGGCCATTTCACTCTGCTGGTGGAAGACCGAGATGTCACTACAGTGGAAGTACTAAATATGTGCTTATGGACACTGTCCATGTTGAGTAATATTCACACTATGAACGCACACCATGGCCCTGAAGCAGTCGATTGACTGACAGGTTGAAATGAGCAGCTGCAGTGCCATTGAAGAACAGTTGTATTGCTCTGGTTTTTTTTAATTTCAGACTGGCTGTGGTAGAACATGTGTATTAAAACTAATTTTTTTAGGGAAGTGCATTGGTGTGCCAGGTGCCAATGCTTTGTCGGGGGTTTTCAACCTAACAAGCAGGGAGCTGGTAAATCGCAATCAGTCTGGCGAGCGTCATTTTGTGAGAAGGAAGCCTTGGGAAAGTTTATGCTGTCCAGAGTGTAAACTTGTGTACAACATGCACAGAATATATCTTTGAAGCCACCTTTTCCAGATAAGGGGCACCATGTGACTTTTGGTGTGCTTGGCATATACTCCTGCTTTAAAATGCTTGAGGCATTGTCATGTACTTACCAATAAAACGAAACAAAAACATGACACACACCTGCATTAACATACCAACATGAGCTTTCATATCTTGTGCATCTGTAGTTACACTGTATAGTAAAGTGGGCCTATTAAAGATATTTTATTGAATATGATAGTGTGTAATGACTGCTAGTGTATGTTAAGACTCGTGTAGTCCCACATTTTCTTTTTAGTATTGGAAACTGTCTGCATCCAAGAGCAAAAGTGTTGCCACATTTCTATTGTCACATGCAATTTATGAATCACAGAGCTTAAAAGGCACAGTCTACAAGATATTCTTTTGAGCTAGGTTGGCGACTCAATGATTTGAATGACAGTTAAGACGAACCTGCTATTGCAGGAATCCATAAAATGCTGTCCTTGGGCACCCAGCAGATGTCTATATTGAACGACAAGCTGAGCCTGATATCCTGTATAAAATTTCAAATACTTCAAGAATTTATGTTGCAGTAGAATTTAGTGTGTAATGATGCTTCAGTCAAAATTATGGATGTAGTCATGTACATTTAGTTCATAATACTATGGAGTATATTACTGCCAGTCGGCAAATAGGGGAAGCACATGTGCATCTTTTTCTCCTGAATGAATCACATCCTCATGTGCCATAAAAGTACAGAAATTCTTATACTTAAAGTTTTACGCTAGCTGCTTCAAAATTTCTCTTATATCTTCATTTAAAATGTACTGAACTTGAAAACTTCACATATTTCATGCTTCTCTCCTGCATGACTGTAAAGTTTATTACTTTGGGCTCATAAATTTTAAAGGAGCACTGACATAATATTTAAAAGGTGAGATAATAAGCGAGATAGATATATGTGGAGACGTACGCAACATAAAGATATCAAGGGCAAACAACCTAGAACATATTTAAAATCAATTTTTAAAGTGCACACCACGAGACTGAGCGAGATGCGGAGCCCCTAGCGACACCGACATCAATGCATAAGCAGTGTAAACAAACGCTCTTGCCTTACACTTCATTTCCTCCTCCATGCCTGTAGCTTTGCGTGTGCTGGCTGTGCTGTGACGTGGCCAGCTGTGTTTACCTTGCCCCCGAAACTGCTGCTGCCTGGCTCGGTGCTACTTGAATCCGAAATTGCGATTGCGTGCTCTGAAAAAATCTCTAAATAAATAACCCTTGTGCACTCGCACAAATGAGGTTTTCAGCTGTGATAAGTTGGTCATAATCTGCCTATTACCAAAAAATAATGTTTGTGTCAGTGCTTCTTTAATATACATTAAATTTAATATCTTTAGTGTATTTTTATATTCCTACCATTTCTAGAAACTTGCAAAAACACAGTGGACAATATCGCTACTCAAATACCTAAAGAAACTCTGATACATTTTGCCACTTATACAAAATTTCAAGTACGCCTTGTTAACAATTTTACTGTGTAGTGTAAAGCTTATATGTTTTTCTCAAATAGTACCCTAGTGATAGATAGTGAATTGTTTGCAATGAGGGTGAGTGTAGCCACATGTGAAACATTGTATGCATGCCAGGCACATGGAAAATGCATTCACATTTCGCCATGTTTTTGAAGAGTGCATATGAAGCCCTGACCTTTACCAGCAATGTCTAATAGAGGTCTGTTTTGCATGAATAAAGTTTAATGTGCTGTTTGATGGTGGTTCTTGCATGAAACCTTGTACTGGGTGAAAGGGACACTAAAGGCAAATAACAGTTTATGTTAGAGTGACAGATCAATGTACGACAACGTCTAAAACAGCAATACAGTATTATCAACAGCAGTGCCCTTCTTACCGAGAAAATAAATATATCGTATGATGTGTGCCACGAGCGAGACATTTTCAAAATGATCCCTATGACGTGAGAGCATCCAGCTACAATCACTAGTAATCAAACTAGCTGCTATAAAAGAAGAACCTTCTGTGCATCAAAAGACATAAGAAAGTGCTGCTTGTCGATTTTTGTTTTATTTATAGAAAAAAGTTACAGCTTTTCCACAAAGGCGGAGCAATGAATGTGATAGCAACAAGTTAGAAGGTGACGTGAAAAATGGCAAGCAGATCAAAACATGTCCTGCGTTTCTCGCGCACAAGTGACGCACGAAACGTAATCACAGATATATATGTACGTGAATAACTTATGAGAAACAGTACTGAACCTGCAAAACGTGCATAGTCGCTGAATACCTAACTGTGTCTCAAGAAGCATTCTCGGTGGCTATGTATACACATGCGCATGTTGTCAAGTGCTGTTCACAACTGTGGCAGGGATGATTGCACAAAATCAGTTTCATTGAAAAATGTGATTGCGACAATTCGAAATGTTATGTGAAGTGAGACTGGCAGTCAACTCATTCAGATCTGATCTCATGTAATTCTACAAAATGCTGGTGTAAGAGAATGCAGCCGCTCCAGGTACACTCTTGGCAGGGGCATAGCCAAGGGGTGGCACACCATGCCGTGCTCCCCCCCCCCCCCCCCCCAAATTTTTTCGTGATGGCCTAAAAGCGAAAAATGACCATATCAAAAGAGTGTGTGCCCTCCCCCCCCCCCCCCCCCCCCGAAAAAATTTCTGGCTACGCACCCGACTCTTCGCACCGCTTTTTCATGTTGGCAGCGCAGCCCGTAAAAGCTCCCGCTTGCTGTGGGGGCACAAGGCACGCGCTGGTCGTTGCCGCAATAGCGCGACAACCATAAGTGCCCCTCCCTACCTTATTCGCTCACGAGATAAGCACGGGCGCAGACTGCCACGGCTGGATAGACTATGTTCACTGCTCAGAAACAGGAGGCTTGGGCATCCTTCCCTGTATATGTATATACATACATATACATATACGTTAATGACGGCGGCGGTGACGGCAAAGAACCACTCGAGACTTTCCATATAATTGCTATCGCAATAAAAAGCACCGCCGGGGGTTATGGGAAATGGTGCAAGTGGTTCAATTTTTTTTTTTTTTGCCTGGTCAGGCTGTATGGGTGGTGCCATCTAGCAGTCAAGCAGAAAATTGTTCAGTCACCATTCTTGCTGCTGTGGCTCCCGCTACATTGGCTCTGCTGCTACTAGTGTTGGTGGCTATGCAGTGAAGCCAGGCAACGTTGGGCTTGGCAACAGTGACGTCAGAAAAACTGTTTTCAGGGAGGTGATTTTCTATGAGCTACCATGATGCTGACCACTAAAACATGATCGTATTTCAAAATAAGCACTTCCTTGGCAAGAAAAGTAGCACTTCGAGGTTTCTGGTTTGCTATTTCAACAGTCAACGGGAACTTGATATTTGTCTTTAGTGTCCCTTTAAATTTTAGAACAGGCTGGCATGGCTAATTGGTTCAGCTCTGAAGGACTATGAGCAGGGGTGTGCAAATTGTGAATTTTAGAACCAAACTAAATACTAATTAAATAGCGAAGACACTAAATTGAATATGAAGCAAATACAATTTTAAAAATCTTTTAATCGTAAAGCAGCCATTTTCAAAGCATGCAGTCCTAGAATGATAATCTAACCATTTTTGAAACAGGGGAAAATATTTCACAGCATTTTACATGAAGCAGATATTCACAAGCTTTAGTGGAGCAACATTACAATTACAAAAATAAACCACAATTATGTAAACTGAGGTAAACTCGTATTAGCGGCAAATGAAGCCTTCAAAATATTTTGTAGCTACAGGTTGGAATGCAGCAGTAGCTACATTATTCAATGTGGCACTTTGTCTGCAGCTAAGGAAAGCTGATGTATAAATATTAAACAATATTCATTAGTCAGCATCATCATCGCTGTAATGATTATAGTGATTTGATGACACTGCTGCTTTGGCGACAGTGGAGTTTGATTCTGTGATCAATATAACGTCGATAGTCTGGCAAGGCTTTAGGCTGCATGCACTTTGACAACGCAGTGTTACTCTTCTGTGTTTCAATGTTTTGTGCCTTTGAGTCTTTTTCAGCGGTGCTTGCTTTTTGAAATGTATTTAAAAAGTTACTGGGTATTTCTAATATACACTATTTGATTCAAGTTTCGAATGTAAAATGATATTCAATGTATCATTATAAATTTCCGAATATTTGCGTACCCCTAACTGCAGGCAGAAGAAAACTCTGACCTGAGTGCCATGGAACATGGGTATAGGTGGAGTCATATTTTTATGCTGTCTTTTTTTGTTGCATTAAATAAGAATCGAGTCATTAGGTGTTCCTTTTTTTTTCACTCCCCTCTAAATCATAAAATCTGAGTGCCATGTTTTAGGAGGCATGTTTAAAGGGGCCCTGCAATGCTTTTCTAAGTAATTGTCTAATTACCGCATTAAAAGAGCTTTTTTGCTTTATGAATTAATCGACTTCCACAAGAATATTTAGAATTTGATAAGTACGAGAGGAGTTACAGGGCATAATGAAGGGAAAAAAACGCTGAAACGACGAGAACAGAGGAACAACGACACACAATGTGCTGCTAACAGTTTATGGCAGCAAAGTAATACGTGTATAGATAGGCAAAGCCTGCTAGCACATGCGCAGTTAGCATCGTAGTGATGGAAGTGCTGCTCCAAATGCTCCAAACTGCTCCAAAATAGAAATGCTGCTCCATGCTGCCCCAAAGTGCAATATTTGCTAGTAACTGCTCCAAACCTGCTCTGAAAGCATGTTGGCAAATTAAAAAAAATGAAGTTGAACCATGAGACCATCCCGTGAGCATAAGCGAAACCGAAAGCAAGCTGTATACACTATCATCCTAGTATGCTACTCAATGTCGTAAATCCAGAAAAATCTCGAGGGGTGACGCATATCAGGCCATGGTGTCCAATTTATATCTTTAATATGGGTTGTATTTGTATTTATATAGGAATTAAATCATGCTTTCAAAAAAATTTGAAAAAACGAGCAAGGGGTCCGAACTCGAGCAGTTGCATTGTTCTATTCAGTCTCTTTGTTTCACCTTTTTTCAATTTTCGTAGTTCACACAGCTGAGGGGAATTTAACACAGGCACACAGTAAAAAATGACAAGCCTTTTAAAAAGTTGATTGCACTATACTTAACTGTTAACTCAATTATATCACATGCAAAGCTTAACCTCAAGTGGGGCACTTGCAAGGGGTGTCCTCCCCAGCCTGAACACCAGAAAAGTCCGAACTCTCTTGACCCTTCACCCCCGCCCATTATTTATGCCATCTACGTATTCTGCTTGTATACTAGCTGCATACTAGCATACCGTATGTTTATTAATACTGTTAAACCCCTTTATAGGAGACATGCTCTGGACAGCAATTATTGTCTCTTATGAGCAGGGTACTTCGTATTCATTTCTTATCAACCCGTATTTTATTGTAGGTACACTGGTGTCTCTTATACCCATTTGTCTTTTATGTCAGTGTCTATGATAAAGGGGTTCAACTGGAAATAAAATTAGATGCTTAAGTGATGTTTTAGACTTCAGGAGCCCTTAGAAACATGCATCTTCTCTGAAAACACCAATAGCAACCCCAATTTGTAGCATTTTTTTCTGCTCCGAAGACGCTTGAGCCTGTTCCAAAGCACCATTTTTTCTGCTCCAGAATCTGCTCCAAAAGCAAAACGTCCCTTCCAACACTGACATCGTCACGTCAACTTAAGAAAAAAAAAAACACTTAAAAGAGAAGTTTTGTAAGGAATGAACAAAATTCTTTACAACTGTGAGACTCCTCAGCAAATTTCAAAAGCAACAGGTACTTAACGTACTTACACACAAGGCAGAGAGTACCCGGGAGGAGGGGAGGGGGGAGGGCTTTGGGTGCACTATTTTATAGGGGCACAGATTTCCTGACTCCCTCCCGAGATATTCTTCAAAATCTGGATTAGGTCTCCGTTCGCTGAAAATGGACTGTTGGAAGTACTTTCTTGCAGCTATTATTTTACAGGGGCTTTCTGTGCCTGCTTCTTTTTCATCACAGGCTTTTGAAAATTGCATCATGGATCAGTGAGAAGTCTAAAATTCAGTGGAAAATGCCCCTAAAATGAATTTGTATGCATAGAATATGATGTGTTGATGAACAAGTTAGTCATGAACCGTATAGTGACTGGTTCTCAGAATGCAAAATTGTTACTGAGAATACAAAGCAATTCTGGAACAGTCAACCGGTGAATAGTATTCTCGCTCTATGACTTGCTCGCCAATAAAAAAATAAGTGTAGTTTATTGGTTATATACAAATGTGTACACTTCGACATGCCCACCTATAAAAGGGCTAGGGAAAGATGGTGCACATTTTTTATTGACCAGAAAAGGCTTTTGGGTGACCGCAAAGAGCAACTCTAATACTCATCCAGAAAAAATACCTTTGGTGGAAAGAACCCCAGCTTTGTACAAGGTCTACTGGTTACAAATTGTATTCACTACTATCTGAAAATTATTTTGACCATATTGAACTGAATTAACTGGAATCATTAAAGCTGCTTGGGCCAGCAAAGAATACTCTTTGATGTGTTGTGCTTGTTTTAACAAAGTAAAGCATGTAAAAAAATTAGCAGATTTCACACAATGGAGGGCTCTATTTAATGGGATATTCCATGAGTAGCAAGCTATACGGTCTTTCTCGCTTTGAGCCAAGCGTTAAGCGAGGGTGGATCGATGTCTGTGTAAACTGAAAAATAAATCTGGAGTCTCCCACTAGATACTTTCATA